CTTATCTATTCTAAAATTTATATATACAGCAATTGTAAAATTAATTATAAGAAAAAACACGTCATTGGACTTGACTGCTATTGATAAACCTATCCCTTTCCTGAGTGAAAACTATTTTATTAGCAGTTAAGGGTATCACATGTGTTGGTTTTCTTCTCCTTCATCTGCCTCTGGACTTTAAAAACTCCCTAGAAACTCTAAGCGTGCTTATATTTTACAAAATATAGAAACATCTCTTTGAGGTTCAGTATTCATTCAGTCTCAAGGGTGTTGTGAAGTTTAAATTAATTAATGTCTGGTAAGCAGTCTGAAATCCTCAGATGAAAGGATCTGTATGGGCCAAATTCTGATCTACCCAATGTAGCTCGCATCGAAAGTGGCCCAAATACATTCTGGTACAAAAGATACCCATGAATCCTCATAATTTATTATTATACTACAAAATCAGTTCAGTTTACAGCACAAACCAGAAATTTGCTAACTGTAAGCACTGCAAATTCACAGTGGGATTTGAAAGCCTTGGTGGTTTCCTTCTGCCTCCATTAATTAAGATGCTGCAATCAAAGTTTAGATGATGACTTGTTGGTAACACATAAACTGGAAAGTAACTAAGACCCCCTCTGAAAGAGGTGACCAGTGCAGGAACAGCCTTAGACAAAAATCTTCCTTAGAAGGATGGAAACAGATTCAGGCAGGTGCAGACCTGTCAAGTCTCATATATTAAGGGTGAGATTTAGACGGACCCTTCCCTCACATTCCCTAACAGAGGGATGCTCCTTCCAACAAACTGAATGGGTAATGTCCACCTGTGCCTGCAGGAAGAAAAAATGCTGTTTCACAGGTTTCATTTTTCTGACCAAAACTGTGCTTTAGATCCTAAACTACCAAGAGAGCAAAATATCAAAAATTGCATTAAAATATCAGGCTCAGAAATTAGTAAATATAAAGCAGTACTCAAGATGTTTCTACAGCCTGCTCAACATGAGCATGTGCGACAGGTAATTGTCTTCATTCTCTGCAAGTTAGGGAAAATACTATTATCCCTTTTTATAGGCATGGAATTGATATACATGGTCAATGACTTCTCACAAGTAATCTGTGAGACGGTGAGGAATTCAACATGGGCCTTCTGCATCCTAAAGTTAAAACTATCTTTAAGAGTATGCGAAGAGGTCAATCTTCAGACTTCAACCCTGCTATGCCAGGAAGCTAGGAATCCTCCTTGGCACACAAAAATGTTTTGTCATTCAAAGCCAAAATCCAAAGGCTATGCCAGTGGCCCCACTTCTGCTGTCCACCGTAAAGCAGTCTGCTGGGATGCTCCAGAATTAAGACAGGGGGAAAAACAGAGCCCAAAGCATTTTGCCAGGTCATAGGCTTGTTCAGTGTTGGCTGCAACTGGATTAACCTGTAGCAACACTAAGACTGATTATTTCTTCCTTTCTCCCCTCCCATATTAATATCAACCAGAAAACTGATATAGAGGTCTATTAGGCCAACTGTAAAAGCAGCATATCTGAGGACTTGGCTGTATTCCTCCATCTTTACAAAAACAAACTTTAAAATGAAAAGTTAGAGGTTTACTTTTAATAATCTGCTTTTGTATCAGGCAGCTGGGAGAAGCCATTCTTAGTTAAAGTTATCTGAAGTAGAAGGGATATTCTGACCAAGGGAGAAGTGCAGAATTAAACTCCCAAACTTTGTAATTAGCTGACTAATCATTAAATTAGCACAAATCACCTAGCTATAACAGATATGTTTCATTTCAAATATTGCAACAGTGTCCCCAAAAAGTCAAAAGACAATTTTAAGGAAAACAGACTACAAAACATAAAATAAATTGTTATCTACTGTGAATTAATGTAAATACTATTTATTACTATAAATGTTAACTAGTAGTAATCACTTCGCCCTAAAGCGTCAATTCCCAAAGGTGAGATTACACTGTTTTTCTATGAGCAATTTCCAATTATGCTCAAACTTCTACAAGAAAAATTCTTTTCTGATTACAATGAGTTCTAAGAATTAAAATTGGATAATTTTGTCTCATGCATCACCAGGAGTAATAAAGGTTGTGGGTGTCCAAATGTTTCCTAAATGACACCTGTACATGTTAGGCTCCATTCAGTTTCTTCCCCCTCGGTCACATCTGCAGATCCCCTCTTGGCAATAATACTGCATTTTTTTAATCAATATGCCTTAAGCATGTTAGAAAGATAAGTCAGTATCAATATCCTATTATTATTCCTACTGTCTTCCAAAGATTTGTGTAACTCTTTAGAACTTAAATAAACCATTCTGATGATAATAAATGAAAAGAAAAAGAAATTCCTCTCTCTCACCTACATTCATTTACACATCTACAAAGAATAGAAGTTATGACAAATACAGCAGACAAAATTCTAAATCCCCAGTGAAACACAGCTGCTCAGTAAGGTGATGCCTTTGTCACAAAATTCATTTCAGGATAGCTCTGCACGTTAACGGCAAAAATGGATAGCTCTCTAAATGTCTAAGGATAGTCAATAAAAAAACCCATGACTACGAATAAAATACGTAAATAACAGATATCAGAGTCAGTATGACAGTCTTGGTAAACTCTGAAAGAGGAAATTACTAAAACAGTAGATTAAAATGAACAAATATATACAGTCAGCACTAAAATGCACAAAAGCAATATGCTGATATGTCTTATATACTCTCATCTATCTTACCATTTGTTGATAAAAGTGAGTGAGCTGCATTTTGCTGTGGTAACCACTTGATCTTGTTTATTTTTTCTTCTATCTCCAAGCTCTTCAAATAATCAAATTCAGGTTCATGGCTCTGGAAAGTGCTGTAAACATTGTACTCCCCCTGATTGTAAGGCTCATTTTTACTCTATGGAGAATAAGAACAACAAAACCATGTGGTTTATGATAGCAAAATATCTCCATCTCTTAGGAAAGGTGTATAAACAGCCTTATAAATATAAAAATATTGGAAGTGTAATTTAATTTCTCATTTAAAATTTAAAAATTAAATCTGTCATGATATTGACAGATTTGTTTCTACAGGAATGAAATTTCCTGTAATTATTGAAGCAACACTTAAGGCAGAATTTTTTAAGAAATGTCAATTTTTCAGGAAAACTTCTCTACAAAAGATACTGCAGATGGACCGAACTTAAAACTGAAACATAAAGGTAACACAGCAAAGGCATTGTTTCAAATTGAATGGTTCCACCAAACAGGCAAAACCTATTACAACAACGTAGAAGTAAAACAAAAACAACCTTCTTTTTCCTTAGCTTAGAATTTTGGAGCTTTGAAGCATTTTTGTTTGAGACAGCAAACTTCCAAGTAAAAGATCCTTACCCTCCTTGACTTCCTCTCCAAAGAGGTGACATTCTGTTTTACTGATCTTGAGATTATAAACAAGTTTGTTAGTTAGATCAAATTAAAATATTAAAAATAAAGCCAGGTTTTAGCAAGCTATTAAGTACTACACTGGTAACTCACATACCTCAGGTTCCCTTTGGAATATAACAACCCGACCCCCCTTGTCACCAGTAGCCAGCAGTTCTCCAGTGTGGTTGAACTCAACTGTAGAAATAATATCAGCTGGAGGGAAAAAGAGAAAAAAGGCAAATTTTAGACTGCTACTACAACATGAGGCCATTAGAAATATCAAGGACTCCACAAAAAAATGAAACAAATGAGGGATTTGAAGGAATACAGATGAACTCAACAGCAAGTCACTAATGCAAACAGGCTGCATGCCATTACAATCTGAGGTTGCTACACAGTGAAACAAGTGCAAACATAACAAGGCAAATTTGTGTTTCCAGTACATCTGCAGTTTGGGAGAGGAAGAGATCTCTGGAGAGGTGCTTCAAGATGCTTCAAGAAGAGCAATCTCAGGCTGCTACAAAGCACTTTTCAGTACTGGAGATAGCAACAGCATTGGTCTCCTGCTATTTCCTCTAGCAAGGACCAACATAACATCTCAGACCTGTTGCATGTATTATTTATTCTTCACCCTTTATGAGGGTTTTCCATATAACCTCCTAGCACTTTTTTTCTCAAATCTGTGCTCGAGCCAAGAGTGCAAAGGCAAAGTACATGTAGCCTGTCTTACCACATAGAAATGAAGGCAAAACCAGAACTGCTCACTGTGCAATGCTGGCAAGAGCCCATTCAAATCATCGTTTCTGGTAAATCATTTCAGCACCATAAAAATGTGTCATCAGAAGATAAAAAGATCCCAGTCTCCTTTTTTTCTAATTTTCAACAACTCCCTTTCCCTAAGCAACTGCATCAGCTTAAACAAGAAACCTCATCAAAACGTGAGGCCAGTCTTGAGTACAAATTACTATACATCAGGATGAGAAGGCAGAGAGAGACTGTAGGAGCAAAATAACTGGTTCTTCTGTTCGTACGACAGTAAATGCTAGAATCTTAATCCACGGTTAATCCTACACTATTAGCATAATTTAAATTAAAATGCCTAGTGCAGCAGTAAATTAAGAAGCCATCATATATACAATCACAGACAAATACAGGGTATTACTCAGAGACTGCATGTATGAATCCTCCATAAGGATCAGTATTCACTCATCAGAAACATGGGCCAGATTTTTAGAAATGTCAGGAGTTAGCAGCTCCCTGTTAGGCATAAAAAGCTGTGGTTTTAAACACGTTCATCATCCATCAGTTTATAGTGAGGACAATGAAGCAACAGTGGGCTAAGCTCTTTGGAAAACCTAGCCCCAAATGAGTTCACTAAAATTCAAAGGAATTGAAATAACAAGTGGATGTACCATTTACTTGGTACATTCTATGAATTGAAAACATCTGTTCCTATTCTTTTAATAAACTAGCAGCTGAGTGTTAGAAAGCTTCTACTGCCAGTAGCTCTCATCAGCAACACAGCCATCCAAAAACCAGATTCTTACTGGAACGTTATAAACAATTCACCATCTAAAAAAGGAAAACTTTACCCTACTCATGGTAAACAAAAATATCTTTTAGTTTTTTTAAGGAATCTTCACCATCAAATTGTTCTGTCTAAAAAAACCAGTTACAAAACCAACCAACCTTCCTCTTTTTTTCCTCCACACACTACATATGTAAAGGAGGAAGGAGAAATTGTAAAGCGTGTATGCAATTTTCTTATTTGCTGAATAAAATGTATGGATGTGTAGACTTTGAGAGAAATGGAACATGATGACTTACAATAATTTGTGTCTGAACCCAAAGCTTCTCAAAGTTAATGGCATTTGATTTTTATGTGGACTTCCACAGACTGGTCATTCTATAGGTAATAACCCCAAAAGCACTAGTCTTATTAGAGTACAGGAAGAGTAGAGAGACTCTGCTTATGGTAGGTGATGCTCTGGGGCTTGGGATGGGTTGAGTTTGATCTAAAAAATTGCACATTTTTTTTTAATCTAAAAATCTAATCAACTTTTCTGGCATGTAAAGTTCTTTTGTAGTACTTCCAGTGGAAGAATGTTCCTTGGGTATTTTGTTCTTATCCTGCAAAATTCATACTGATAGTAGGTGTGGGCTCCTGCTTATGAAATGATACCTGCATGACTTTACTCATTTCCAGTTGTATCTTACCCCAACCATACAGGCAGAAGTTCAGAAGTCTCATACCGACAGTCCTTTTAGGATGGAGACTCTTATCTTAAGCATGCAATGGGGGAGGAGGGTAAATGCAGAGGGAAGGAACATAATATCTATTAAAATATGTGTGTATTTGTGTGTGTATGTGTGCGCATGTGTAATGTATACGTGATTTTCTTAATGGGTCACAAAAGAATCAGATAAAATAACCGTGCAAAAGGAATGAATGACATTTGAATTTATATATGTGAATACACTTGCTATTGGCCTAGAATACTTCCACAATGGCATGAAATATTCTTCTCTATGGCCACAATGGTCACAAAATATTATATTGCACTTTATGGAGGGCATCAGCCAATGCCCAGTAAAGTCCACAGGAGTATTTGCACTGACTTCAATAGTAACTGAACCAGGGTTATAATAAAACAGCTCTGTACTTTTTTGATTATATTGCATTTGTCATTGAAGCATTGTGTGCAGTTAAGTGATTATTGTCTAAAGAAAAGTGGCTAAAACATGAAGTATCTGTGGGCAGGGTGTAACGATGTTGTTCTGAGGCAAAATTCTCTCTCCCCCAAGGTGTTTCTTCCAGATGCATCCCTCCTTTCTATTAGAAAAACTAATTCTGAACTGGAAACTACCTATCATTTTTAAATTAACTTGTTCTGAAAAAGAGCAGAGCCAATATTCTGACCTTAGAAGCTATGCAGCTGGCTTGTTGGTAAAAAAATTATCCTTGAATTGGAAAATCACTTTCATTGATCCTGTAAATAACAGCTGAAAACAACAGCCCAGAAAAAAAAATCTTATCCAATGTATCTGTCCAGCAGATGAACATTAGTCATGCTGTTTCCATAAAAAAGATTAGCTAAGCTGGCTTGTCCTAAGACAGAGGAGGTAGGAACTGAATCAATCAACAAAGCTTTCATACCCTTCTGCAGAACATTCCCCTATATATTTATCAATGCTGTAGCAACATCAGCCACTACGGTCTCATCCTGCAGATCTTTCCATTGGAGAATGGCCCCCTGAGCGTACAGAGCAATTAACTACCAGATTTCACCCTCTCCAGGATATACAAAAGCTCCACAATGGAAGAGCTGATGAATTTGCATGTACAGTAAGCTCTTGGCAAGGGATGGCAGAGATGAAAGACTCCTTCCAGCCGCCTTCTGCACCACACCTTCCCTATCTCTGCTGGCAGAGCCAAGCTTTGCACTAATGATTACGAGTATCAGAGACAGAGATAATTTACTGATTAAGAAAAATTATGGGTAACCTCAATGCCAACAGGCAAATGTTTCCAATCAGATTGCAAATCCCAACTTCTATTCAATATTTATCTTCCTACTCCATTTTTAAATTCCTCATTTTGTCTATGCAGAAATGTATATAAACTTGGATTTAAAAGTCACAATCCTCAACATTTTCACTTAGTGAAAAAGCACAACTTGGACACTCAAAATACAGATGCTGACTGAGAAAAGCAAACCAAAAACCTTCAAAAGATAAACTACTCTGGGGGGTACACACCTGGTCATCTGTTCCACAGCAAATTGTCCCAGCAGGTACAATGCATTGCAGACTTCATTCCCCAGACTAATTTTATATATCCACAGAAAGATACCACATTACTCTACAGCTTAAGCTGACGGGAAGTTTTTCCTGATCCAGTCTGAAGTATTTCACCCCATGCCTGCTAGTGACCTCTGCCCTTTCGTACCTCATTAACTAATTCCTCTCCAGCTTCACAATTTACACTCAATTCAAATTTACACACAATTTAAATGTGCTTTACACACAATTTGAATGTTGCATCCAACAGCTGCTGCCAAGCTAGATATATTCAGCTTTTCTAATAGATCTAAGTCTATCAATGCACATCTGTGCACACCAAGATATCTCTAGCTGATTGTACTGCTCTTCCCTCAACTTCATGAGTATCGTTCCAGCATGGACGCAGGCAAACGAACCCTCCAGCAGCGCTCCCACAGGCTCAGTGTGGGGAGGGATGAAACAAAGGTTGGTACACGTAACACAAATTAATTCTGGCCTTTATTTCACACCGTCACATACTTTTCAATGTTCACTTTCTAGCCTCTTACAGGTTTATTTTAAGGGTTCTTAATAGCTTATTCCTATAAAACACAAACAGGTCTAAATACCTTTACAATAATTAGAAAAACCTTATCTATATAATAAATCTTTGCATAATTTTGGGGAAATTTAGCATAATTGCATGCCACTCCCACCTCGTATGCACTCAGTGAAGCAAAGTCTGAACATACTCATCTTCATACTGTCTTTTGGTCAGAAACCTCAAGCAACTCTAAGAAAAGCTCAATTATAATTTTCTGTATGTTACTTTTACTAACAATCTGTCTCTCTGAGGCCTTTCATTTGAAGGCCCCAATATACTTTATTTTGCTTCACAAGATCAGGAAAGCAAAGAAAATTTCAAAACTATTTCACCCAACACAGAAATGCAGCTTTTTGGACAGCAATAGCAAGTTTTGAGGGCAAAAACCGCCATACAACAGTACAGGGAAAAGAAGATCAGAGAATATAATATCCTGTTGAATTGCAGTGTAAACCTGATAGAGAATTAAAGGATTTGGAATGGGCCAGAACACTGGAATTAACATCAGTACTTTTCTCCAGAAAAAGCTGTGAATTCCTACCAGCCAGAACACATCAGAACTTTATATCACACCCACCACAATCAGCATGGCAACGCTGTCGCCCGAGCTGACTGAATCAGCATCTAGGTCAGGCTTTTGTTGTGCGTGCTCCCAGTAGCTAGCAGGCAATCTTGTAGTCTACATTAGTTCAACCAAGTTCTGACCTGGCCTAACCTTGGTTTGTGAAATCCAGTAAGATCACAGCACAATCTGGCATGGCTGCAAGCAACGTTCAGTCATACTGATACAGAAGTCCCTGAGGAGTGTAATCTGGAAGAAACAACAAAGAAGCTTCCAACAAAGAGAGCCATAAAACAAAAGGACAAATGGTAGATAAAAGAGGAGCTGTGTTACAGTATCTCGTGTGAAGGGAAGGCCGTTACAGTGAGCTGTGCTGTCAGAATTTAGTTTAGACTTGGACCAAAAAAAAGGAAAAGAAAAAAATGCATGGAAAGAAAAAGCTTTCTATCTTTTTTTAAGCTGAAGTTTCAAAGGTTTCCTCAAGCAGCTAGAAAACAAGGTATACAAAACCTCAAAGGTATGAGGGTCAGATGAATCCTGTTTTTCTGAAATGGCTGGCAGAGAGATCCTTGACAACAGAAAAATTTCCTGTTTGAATCATCAGACTCTGTAACGCGCATTCATTCTGGCTCACAGCAGTGTTATTCACCATCTTGGATCCAGGGATTGTATAACACCAGAAACCACCCCTCAAAATTCAAGTAAACACAATGCAAAATCTCACACAGCACAGTGTCCACCTTGGCTGGGTCAGAAACTTAACGCTAAAAGCCACACACCAGAATCTACTGGTAGACATTTTATTAACCTACGCACAAACTACCTGATCACCTCTCCAAGTCACCAAAACTGGACACAAGCCAGCACACAGCTGGGTCGCCATGTGAGAAGGACAGATGAGAGAACAAGAGAGCGCAAGGATGCACAAGATGGAGAGAGAGCGAGCATGCAAACATGTTAAAAAGAGCAAGAGCATGAGAAAGGGTGCAAAAGAATGTACATGGGAGACCATATGCACACATGAGAGCTTGAGAAAGCATGAAAGAGCACAAGGAAATGCCACAGCAGAAGATACGAAAGTAGTCTGAAATGAAGGATCTATCAACCGCTTTGTCCCTGGGATTATCTGTCAACCTGGCAAATCTTTCGTTTTGCTTTTCTTCCTCCTTCATTATGGTTTTAAAACCTGATAGAGTTTGTGCTGCAAAAGTATGTTTGCTCCATGTTGTATGGGCAATGCAAAACACAACAGGAAGCTGAACTTGGCTAAAGCAAACTTTGAACATAGATGCTACTAGTGTAAGTGCTTCGGGCATCAGTAAAACAAGGTGCTCAATCAGTAACAGAACGAAATCCAGAGATGTGTGTCCACTACGCTTCATGAATTCATTTTCCTAACTGACACCCTGCCTGGCTTCATTGCTAGTAAGGACAAATATATCAAGGGCAAAATTCAAACAGCCCCATTTAAACCTGCCAAGCAAGAACAAGGAAGCTTATCGGGCTAAGTATCGCCTTTCTTCCCGAGTATAGCAATCTCTTCCTGATGTGAAATCCAAAACCACGGGGTTG